CAGCCTTTCAATGTCCATAAATAAATATTTTAGACCATAGCGGCACTAGCTGTTATGCTACAGAGTTGAATAGTTGCAAGAGAGAGCTGATGGCTCACAAAGCCAGCATTACTTACTAATTGGCCTTTTAAGGAAAAGTTTGCCAATCTCTGGCCTGGAGGCAGCCTGGATTTTCCAGGAGATTGATAAAAGAACACGGGATGGCAGATTAGTGTTTGGGAATGGAACGCAGCTCCAGAATTGTTCCCACCAACAGAGAGGGTATTGAGGCAGGAAGGCGTGGGCCAGAGGGCCTGTGCTCCTCCTCGCCCCCGTTTCTTCTCCACTGCATGAGCCTTTCCTGATGGGTGCTCCTGTGCCTGTCCATCTCCCCCAGCGGGCCAGGCTCTAGAGCAGGGCCTGTGGCGGTGCTGATGCAGTCAGTGTTTGTGGAGAAAAGGGATAATATTGGGCCGCAGCTCCGTCCTCACCAATCATTGCAGACGTCTGAGAGAGGGTGGGAGACCTAGTTTTACAGCTGTCTCCCAGCCCACGGCTGGCAGGAGGGCATTGTCTGCTGCTCACAGTCTTCCTCGTGCTTCTTAGGGACGTACATCCGCACCAGCGACGGGCGGATCTTTGCTGTCCGAGCGACGGGCAAACCCAAAGCCCCTGAAGATGGCCGGATGGCTGCCTCAGGTATCGCATGCATCTCTGTCTCCCGTTCACCGCTGGACATGTGTTGTGTTTTGGTTTAGTTTCACTTGTAATTAATTTTTTAGTAAATAATGTGTACATGGTTCACAATTCAAAAGGTACAAAAAGGGATAAAGTGAAAAGTAAGTTTTTCTCCCTCCATACCTCTAGCCAGTCATTTCTCGTCTGTCATTTTCAGAGATATTCTGAATGCAGTACAGGGATGTGTGTGTCTTTATGGATAAAAAGCATGTGTGCCTGTTTGGATAAAAAACGTGTGTATAACTTTCCTTCGTATTTTTCAAATGAATGCTCACTCACTATAATACACTGGTTAGTCCTTCACTCAATAGGTAGCCCAGGGCTGGTGCCTTATCTGCTGTAGCTGTGCCTCCTGGAGGGCGTGCACAGGATGCCGCTGGGTGGGACAGGGTGGGACAGCACCGTGCGTCCCAAGTCCCCTGTCCTGGGGTGCTCAGATTGCTGTACTCCACATGCAGAACTGTCTCCCAGGCACGGGGTGTATCTGCAGCATAATCCCCAGACGTGGGCGGATCGCCAGGTTAAAGAGTGTGTGGGCTCATTCACAGTGAGGTGCTCTGGCCAGGCTCCCCTGTGGGAGAGCTTCTCCTCCATCCTTCCTCCGGGAGGCACGAGAGCTAGACTGCTTTTTTGTGCACACAGCCAGCCCAGTTGATAGAGCAGCACCGTGAGCACCCACGGAGCCGCGCCAACACCAATGACTGTTCCTTTCTCCATGCACTCGCTTTTGTCTCTCCCTTCCTGTTATCTGAACTATTTGCAAATCGAGGACATCATGTCACTTTTACCCCTAAACATTTTCACACACACAGCCTAAGGCCAAGGGCATTCCCCTCTGAGCCAGCAGCATTATCACACCGAGTTAACAGCTCCGCATGTGGCCCGAGGTCAGAGCCTGTTTTCCAGGCGTCCCCAGCAGGCCTCCCCATCATCTTCCACAGCCAAGGCTTTTGTTTGATTTTAAGCCAGGATGGATGACTTGTTAGAAGCACTTTCCTCTTTTCTTCAATCCTGGTCACTGCAAGCCTGACTGGGGGTAAGACTGATGACTTAGCATTTCATGTCCATGACCTTGTGGGCTTCACCTTGTGGAGTTTCACAATCAGGGAAAGGAGAGACCTGTTTCCTCGGGGAAAGTTAACTGGGTGACTTTATACATCAAACTATTTGAATTTTGGGGACCTAGGATGGGATTTATTTGTTCTTTCATGGAACTTTCCCCTATATCTTCCTTTTCTCCCTGGCCATTCTGGTTCTCAGTCACCTACGTTTTGTCCCCAGGTTCCCAGGGGCCTTCTCTCGAGTCTACGAGCAACGGCAGACCCAGTGCCTCATCACCCAAAGCCCCCGACCCTGAGGGGCTGGCCAGGCCTGTCTCTCCCGACAGCCCGGAGATCCTCAGCGAGCTGCAGCAGTACGCGGACGTGGCCGCTGCCCGCGAGTCCCGCCA